CACTTTTAGTCAATTTGTTTGTGTTAAGTATGAAGATATACCACATCTATACATCTCCATTTATAAATTGTTTCAAACTCTTCAGCTGTTGAGAAAAAATAAAACTTCACCAATCAAAATATATAGTTGTGAAGTATGCAAGCTCTGAGTGGTTTGCAATACATGTACTCAGTGTACATGTACTCAATGTAAATGGCCTGCTTTACAATGTATGTAATCTGTAACGAAATCAACTTCTGTTGTAAAATGTTGTATATATTATTACAAATCTACATGAATTTTAATATTATCAGCCTTATATTGTATGAAATAATAATAATGTCAATCAACTCTATGTCGGATAAATTTGTAAATCTATTTTACAAGTGTGTCAGCTGTAACACCTTATACAAGTATCTCACCTGTAACATTTTACATAAATATATATCTTCCCAATATGTGGAGTTTATAAACCACATAAACTTGGATCTGATATAAGGCTGATAACATTTCATTGTATTGTCAGTGAGTTAACATAGAACTAACTGGGTCAACATTGGTTGAGATTCATCACAAAAGAATCCTTAACAATGTACAAATTGGGTCAATATTACCTTATACTCATCCCTAACAATGTACAGGTTGGGTCAATATTAGTTCAGACTCATATCAACAGTTTGGGTCAACATTAGCTTAGTCTCATCCCATAACAATATAAGTTGGGTCAACTTAGTCTCATCCCATCACATTGTATAAGTTGGGTCAACATTAGCTTAGTCTCATCCCACAACAATATACCTTGGGTCACCCTTATCTTAGTATCATCCCATCACATTGTATAAGTTGGGTCAACAGTAGAAACCCCATAACAATGTACAGCTTGGGTCAACATTACCTTAGAAGCATCCCTTAACAATGTACAACTTGGGTCAGCATTAATTTAGAAGCATCAAATAGCAATGTACAGCTTGGGTCGACATTACCTTAGAAGCATCCCATAACAATGTACAAATTGGATCAGCATTAGAAACCCACGACAAGGTTGGGTAACATTAGTTTAGACTCATCCTATAACAATACATATTAGTTTAGACTTGTCACAAAATAATTTACAGGTTGGGTCAACTATAGAATCCTAAAACATTGTACAACTTGGGTCAATATTAGTTTAGACTCATCCCATAACAATGTACAGGTTGGGTCAACATTAGAATCCCATAACAATGTACAGGTTGGGTCAACATTAGAATCCCATAACAATGAACAAGTTGGGTCAACATTAGAATCCCATAACAATGTACAAGTTGGGTCAACATTAGAATCCCATAACAATGTACAAGTTGGGTCAACATTAGAATCCCATAACAATGTAAAAGTTGGGTCAACATTAGAATCCCATAACAATGTACAAGTTGGGTCAATATTAGAATCTCATAACAATGTACAAGTTGAGTCAACATTAGAATCCCATAACAATGTACAGATTGGGTCAACATTAGAATCCCATAACAATGTACAGGTTGGGTCAACATTAGAATCCCATAACAATGTACAGGTTGGGTCAACATTAGAATCCCATAACAATGTAAAAGTTGGGTCAACATTAGAATCCCATAACAATGTACAAGTTGGGTCAACATTAGAATCCCATAACAATGTACAAGTTGGGTCAACATTAGAATCCCATAACAATGTACAAGTTGGGTCAACATTAGAATCCCATAACAATGTACAAGTTGGGTCAATATTAGAAGTCCATAACTATATACAGGTTGGGTCAACATTAGAATCCCATAACAATGTACAAGTTGGGTCAACATTAGAATCCCATAACAATGTACAAGTTGGGTCAATATTAGAAGTCCATAACTATATACAGGTTGGGTTAATATTAGAAGTCCATAACAATGTACAAGTTGGGTCAATATTAGAAGTCCATAACTATATACAGGTTGGGTCAACATCAGTTTAGACTGTCCCACAATGTACAACAAGATGGGTCAGCATTAGTTCAGATAATCATATAATAACATACAGGTTGGGTAAATATTAATTTAGACTCATCCCATTACAGTACAGTATACAATGGCCTGAGACTTGAACCCATGTGGACAGACATAAATTGTCATTGATCTATAAAGATAATTGCCTTAGAACACTCAGTCAAAGGGGAGCCCTAAGGAGCTTTAAAATATGTGATTAGAGAATTAGGCAAGGCTTGAATGTGTGATTACATAATATGTCCTACAATAAATCAATGAAATGAATTTAGCAAGGAATGTTCTAAGTGATTAGGCAATTACTCATATAGTAATGTTATATGTGATTAGGTAATTAACCAAATAGTAATGTTATATGGGATTAGGTAATTAACCAAATAGTAATGTTATATGTGATTAGGTAATTAACCAAATAGTAATGTTATATGGGATTAGGTAATTAACCAAATAGTAATGTTATATGTGATTAGGTAATTAACCAAATAGTAATGATATATGTGATTAGGTAATTAACCAAATAGTAATGTTATATGGGATTAGGTAATTAACCAAATAGTAATGTTATATGAAATTAGGCAATTACCCATATTAGGTCTTTAACCAAACAATAATGTTATATGAGATTAGGTAATTACCCATATAAGGTAATTAACCTAATAGTAATGTTATATGGGATTAGGTAATTACCCATATTAGGTAATTAACCAAATAGTAATGTTATATGGGATTAGGTAATTACCCATATTAGGTCTTTAACCAAACAATGTTATATGAGATTAGGTAATTACCCATATAAGGTAATTAACCTAATAGTAATGTTATATGGGATTAGGTAATTACCTAGATAGTAATGTTATAAGTGATTTGACAATACAGTAAATTTTACTGCAAAGTTAATCCATCATGAATGTAAAAGAGTACTTATTATGGTAGCACAATGTCTTCCTAAAACATCAAGAACTTAACCCTTATGCCAATAATCAATTTAACAAGCATATCAATCAGTTAACCAATCATTCAATTAGTCAAACCAGCCTTAATTGCTATACTTATAAATTCAAAAGATATTAAAAAAAAGTGTCAGTACATGGTTTTGGTATTTTCCACAATGTAGGTCTTGCACATCACTACTGTTATGATAGTTTAAATTTTTATGGTTTTCTCTTTTAATAACCTCGCATATTCTTGTGCCATTTTAAAACAGACATTTTTGTCCATAGATAAGCAATATACCATCTTTACTCGCTTCTAAGTCAAGTCTATCTGCAAATAACAAAGACTCTGATCTGACCTAGCATAAAGCACCTGCACATCAGGGTCTGTGATGCTTGCTCTATTGATTACTCCTAACAAACTGCACAGACCCTGATCTGCAGGCACTTTATGGTCTGGCAGATCTGGGTCTGTACAGTTTGCAGTTGGACTCAACTTATAAGCAAGTACACATGGTAGTTATTACAAATCAGGGACCTAATGATTAGTAATGGGTTGAACTCCTAATGAAATATGTAGGGACCTTAATCAAGAACATGTCAAAGTATGACAGACAGACTGACAGGATTGACTGACAGGGCAAGACAGATGGAAGCATGTGTTTGATTTACTGAACATGACATGCATAATATGTGTATACATACATATATATATATATATATATATATATATATATATATATATATATATATATATAGATGGAATAAATTGACAACAACAGTGTGAAACTAGTAACTAACTAGCCTGGGCCTTTCAACTCTAAATAACTCATGTAGGGACAGCCATGTAGAGTGTAACAGTTTTTTATGTTTAGAGTTATGTAGAGACAGCCATGTAGAGTTTAACAAACTCAGGATTTTTTATGTTTATTTGTTTGTTTTGTATATGCCTTTGAAAAAGACTCATTAAGTGTCAAACATGCTCAGGCTATTTAGTTACTAGTTTCCACTGTTTGTCATCAGTTTATTGCATCTATCTTTATCAATACCTGAAACTGATCCCTTGCTGGTTCCAGTGCACTTGAAGAGTTGTTATTTGCCATGTGATTTGTATTCTTTCTAATTCTATCTATATCTATCTATCTATATATATAAATATATATATATATATATATATATATATATATATATATATATATATATATATATATATATATATATATATATATATATATAAACAGACAGACAGACAGACAGACAAATAGATAGATAGATAGATAGATAGATAGATAGATAGATAGATAGATAGATAGATAGATAGATAGATAGATAGATAGATAGATAGATAGATAGATAGATAGATAGATAGATAGATAGATAGATAGATAGATAGACAGATAGATAGATAGTGTGTGAGAGAGAGAAAGTTTAATTTGTGAAAAAAATGTTTTACTTTTGAATGTAGATTTCCTATATTGTTGCTTGTTCCACATGTTACTGTAATACTTTTGCTGTCTTTCTGTCTGTCTGTCTATGACAAATCTATAAAGAAACCCAGGATGATATGCCATGATCATCCATGTTTTAATCATGATTCTGATATCATTTTCAAACATTATACTGTATATATCCTTACATACTACACACCTCCATAAGGAACAGCTGGATCTGTCCTGTTGACAGTTGGGTATTGTTGTGCATGGGTAGATGTAATGTGAAAATATGTCTTTGTCATTTATATATAAGGGTCAATATTGGACAATATCACATTAATGCCATTATAGCGGTCAATAATAGACAATATTGCACTAATGTCATTATAACAGGTCAATTAGATTTAGATTTTTTTAACTAGCTTTTAACAATTTTTCAGTCATATCACTATGATGTCTGCAGTGTGACAGTTTATAGTTATGTCTAACACTGGGGCATCATATCACAGACATGGGGCATCATATCACAGACATGTGACATGATGTCCCACCCAGTCACATTATCCTGACACCAGGCCAACCAGTCCTAAGACTAACCTCTTATTGCTGAGCACCAAGTGAGGCAGCAGTATGTACCATTTTTTAAATCTTTGGTATAACTCAGCCAGGGTTCGAACCTGCAACCTCCTGCATCTGAGGTGGATGCTCTAACCACAAGGCCACCAATGTGGTTGGGTCAATTAGAGACATGATAAAACTAAGGGCATTATCTGTGGTCAATAAAAGGCAAGATTACACTCAAATTGGCATCATTACAATGCTTACACAACAGACAACATAATATTCAGAGTTGGTGTAAATATTTATCTGTTGCATAGCCACATACATTCTTGCATAGCTGCATGCATTGCTGCATATTGCCATATATGGTTGCATAGCTACAAACTTTCTTGCATAGTTAAATATGTACATTATTGTTATTCTGTATGTATGATATATACCTGATAATAACCCCATACTTGATTATAAACCCATGCTCTATGATAGGCATATATTTCATGATAAGCCCATGTCTGATAACAAGCCCATCTTTGATTATAAGTCCATATCTGATAATAAGCCCATATTTGATGATAAGTCCATGTCTGATAATAAGCCCATATTTGATGATAAGTCCATATCTGATAATAAGCCCATATTTGATGATAAGTCCATGTCTGATAATAAGCCCATATTTGATGATAAATCCATATCTGATAATAAGCCCATATTTGATGATAAGTCCATGTCTGATAATAAGCCCATATTTGATAAGCCTATATTTGATAATAAGCCCATATTTGATGATAAGTCTATATCTGGTAATAATCCCATGTCTCATGACAAGTTCATGTATGACGACAAGCCCATGTCTGATGATAAGCTCTTTTTTAATGATAGGCTCATCCATGTATGATGATAATCCCATGTTGTCTCAGGACATGTCCCTGCATGACAATAAGTCCATGAATGAAGATAATCCCCTGTCTGATGATAAGTCCATGTATGATGATAAGCCCATATCTGATAATCTCATGTCTCATGACAAGTCCATGTATGATGATAAGCACATGTTTCATGACAAGGTCATGTCTAATGATAAACCCATATTTGGTGATAAATCCCAGGTCTCAGGACATGTCCCTGCATGACAATAAGTCCATGAATGAAGATAAGCCCATGTCTGATGATAAGTTCATTTATGATGATAAGTCCATGTATGATCACAAGCCCATATCTGATAATCTCATGTCTCATGACAAGTCCATACATGATGATAAACTCATGTTGATGATAAACCCATCTCACAACAAGTCCCTCAATGATGATTAGTTCATGAATGATGATAAGCACATGTCTAATGATAAACCCATATTTGATGATTAGATATAGACAATGGGACTCTTTCTTTATGCATAAAACTGTGTTGATGGGCCTTAAGCTGTGCTAATGAGTATTAAACAATGTTAAATGGGTAGAAAGCTGTGGGTATTAAGTTATGCTAATGAATATTAGGCTGTGCTAATGGGTATTAATCTATGCTGATGGGTATTAAGCTGTGCTAATTGGTTTTTAAGCTGTACTAATGGGTATTAAGCTGTGCTAAAGGGTATTAAGATGTACTAATGATTTTCAAACTATGATAATGGGTATTAAGATATGTTAATGGGTATTAAGATGTGCTAATGGGTATGAAGATATGTTAATGGGTATTAAGATATGCTAGTGGGTATTAAGATGTGCTAATGGGTATTAAGCTGTACTAATGGGTATTAAGCTGTACCAATGTGAATTAAGATTTGCTAATGGGTACTAAGCTGTACTAATGGGTTTTAAGCTGTGATAATGGGTATTAAACAATGTTAATGGGTATTAAGCTTTACTAATGGGTATTAAACTGTGTTAATGGATATAAAGCTGTGTTAATGAGCATAAAGCTGTGCTAATGGGTATTAAACTATATTAATGAGTATTAGGTTATGCTAATGAGTTTTAGTATTAAGTTGTGGTAATAGGTATCAAGCTTTGTTAATGAGTTTTAAGCTGTTAATTTGTGATTTGCTAACATTTTAGGTATGAGCCAGGCTTGCTAACAATAAAGAGACACAGACAGACAGACAGACAGAGAGACAGAGAGAGAAAGAGAAGAGACCTAAAAACACACATACATACATACGTATTATTCAACAGAGGGCAATATTTGCAGATGAACCAGATATCTAACATCTATGTTCGTCAGAGAGTAATTACATAAAATTATATATAAGTTACATAAAATTATATATAAATTACATAAAATTATATATAAATTACATAAAATTATATATAAATTACATAAAATTATATATAAAAGAAACTGACAGCACACATTAAAATAAATAGAAATTGAACCCTTTGTCAAATGTAAACACTCAAGAATAATATGAAACATGACAATCAGCAGAGGAAACAAGGAACAATGAACAATTCTATATATTTTTGTTATCTTTTACAATAACAAATAAACTTCTGTAATGAAATGAGCAATAAATTTCCACATAGAACATTATACCTTTGCCAAAATGATTGAACTATACAGGAATATGTTGTTGTTATAGGGTTTAACGCCATTTTTCAGCACAAGATAGACTATACACGTGGCCAGTATTAATGGTGGAGGAAGAACCCTGGAAAACCTATGGGAAGAACCACTGACCCATGAGAAGCTACTGGCAGGCTTTCTCACTTATCTACTTAGCCAGCCGAGTCTGGACTCAAACAAACTCATGCAGACAAAGGTGAGATGGCAGTGATCCATAATGGTCAGGAATATAACATGACACCTGCTTTACACAACAATGATGCTTGCTTTTTAAAATCTTCTTGTAGATCACTTAAATGTAATATATAAACAAAAGTGATGTGAAGAAAATAATTCAATTACCAAGGCACAGTTCTTTGCCCCACCCTAACTCACACACATGGATAATATAGAATCATTACAATGAATAATGAACACATGAATAAGAGGGAAGAGAAAACTTTGAACATGTTTTGAAGCTGATGACAAAATACAAACAAAATGAAACCATATATGGTTAAAATTTTGCTTTTCTTACAAATTTTGGCTAAATTTCTAATCTAAAGAGGTAATGACAGAGAATGCATGAATGTTTAATCTTACCTTGCTCTGGACAAGCAAACTACCTGGTCAAGGTGGCTAATTGTATACACAGCTTTATACCTGTTACCAAAGTACTAGGTCATCAAATTGCTATAATGACCAAACCAGTTTGACTGGCCTTGTTAATTATATGGGTTTGTTGTCTAAACATCAATCCACTCAAAGTGGATGACCCCTGGTCAACAGGGCTGTCTCTATTGACACAACTTGACTAAAGATAACATGTAAGAAATACACCATTAAGATTTCTTCTTAGTTCAATACAATAAGCTTAAATTTTTCTTTGAAATCTTATTACATTACATTACATTTGACTGATATCCAAAATATTCAGTGTTGGTGTAAATATTTATCTGTTGCATAGCTACATACATTCTTGCATAGCTACATGCATTGCTGCATATCACCATCTATTGTTGCATAGTTACAAACATTCTTGCATAGCTAAATATATACTTGCATAGATACATACATTCTTGCATATCTACATTCATTATTGCATATCTACATACATTCTTGCATAGCTACATACATTTTTTGCATATCCACATACTGTTGAAATGCTACATATAATGTATGTTCTTTCATATCTACATACATTGCTGCATAGCTACATACATTGCTGCATAGCTACATACATTCTTGCATAGCTACATACATTGCTGCATAGCTACATACATTCTTGCATAGCTACATACATTGCTGCATATCCACATGCATTCCTGCATATCTACATACATTGTTGCACATCAACATACATTGCTGCATATCAACATACATTGTTGCATATCAACATACATTGTTGCATATCAACATACATTGTTGCAAAGCTACATACATTGTTGAATAGCTACATACATTGTTGCATAGCAACATTTTTTGTCAAAGGCTGAAATTCGAAGAGTATTGAGCATCACTGAGATTTAATATTTGTAATTAGTACTCCATACAATTCTTATTCTACTGTGCACTATGAAAGTGGACTTGTTGACTGTACCAGTAAAATTACTAAGTCTCAATGGAAATAAATTCAAGCTTTATATGCATGTATATTAGGTGACAGAAACATCAGTCAATTATAAGTGACATTTCATACTGGCCCTTGACAGCAGGTAGTACTTAATATTGTCAATCAAGTAGCCAACCATTTATCTCATTCATAAGTATTTTAGTGGAACCCCAGATTATTTGAAAGGTACATCCCAAAAGATTATTAAAAATGTGCATTCCAAGTTAATTTGGAACACTGGGGCACCTGACTACTAAACTTAATGCATTTGCTAGCACCAACACTACTTTACTTTACTTTTCTACCTACTTTAATCTACCTCTTTCTACATATCTACCTCTAAATACATATCCACTTTTTCCAACATTTCTGCCTCTTCCTATATATTTACTGCTTCCTACATTGCTATCTCCACATTTCTACCTCTTCCACAATATCTAACTCTTCATATATTTTATCTCTTCCTACATAACTACATCTACCTACATATCTACCTGATCCTACATTTTTATCTCTACATTTCTACCTCTTCTTACATATCTAACTTTTCCTACATTTCTATCTCAACATTTCTACCTCTTCCTATATATCAGCCTCTTCCTACATTTCTGTCTCTACATTTCTACCTCTTCCTATATATCAGCCTCTTCCTACATTTCTGTCTCTACATTTCTGCCTCTTCCTACATATCTAACTCTTCATACATTTTGACCTCTTCCTACATATCTATCTCTACCTACATATCTACCTGATCCTACATTTCTATCTCTACATTTCTACCTCTTCCTAGATATCAAACTCTTCATGCATTTTTACCTTCCCCTTCATATCTAACTCTTCATACATATCTATCTCTACCAACATTTCCACCTCTTCCTACTTATTTAACTCTACCTTCACATCCAATCTTCCTACCTTTCTATACCTTACTTCATATCTACCTCTTCCTAAATATCTACAACTTGTTACACATCTACATCTTCCTACATCTTTCCATACAAAAACAGACTTCCCATGCCAGTAAATTGCTGGACTTTCCATGCTAGTAAATTGCTGAACTTTCCATGCCTGTAACTGCTGGACTTTCTAAGCCAGTAAATTCTTAGACTTTCCATGCCAAAAAAACTATTGTATTTCACATGCCAGTAAACTGCTAGACTTTCTATACCAGCAAAATGTTGGACTTTCTATTCCAGTAAACCACTGGACTTTCCATGCTTGTACAATCTTGGACTTTCTACTCCAGTAAATCACTTGAATTTCCATGCTAGTAAATTGGTGGAATTTCTATTCCATTTAATTACTGTACTTTTCATGCTAGTAAAATGTTGGACTTCCCATGCCAGTAAACTGCTGAACTTTCTATACCAGTAAAATGTTGGACTTTCTATTCCAGTAAATAACTGGACTTCCCATGATAGCAAAATGTTGGACTTTCTACTCCAGTGAACTGCTGGACTTTTCATGCTAGTAAAATGTTGGAATTTCTATTCCAGCAAATCACTGGACTTTCCATGACAGTAAACTGCTGAACTTTCTATACCAGTAAAATGTTGGACTTTCTATTCCAGTAAATAACTGGACTTCCCATGCTAGTAAAATGTAGGACTTTCTATTCCAATAAATCACTGGGTTTTCCATGATAGTAAAATAGTGGACTTTCTAATTTGATTTTCAAGGATACAAACAACTTCAACCATTACAAAATATTTACTTTGTAAATGACTTTCATAGAACAAATGTAAAACAGAACTATTTTTCTTTGTGGTTCAAACTGAAAGTAAATTGATTCTGATGAACCAATCATCAATCTTTAATCTATAAATTTTCCCTTATTCCACACACCGATCTTTAATCTATAAATTTTACCTTGTTCCCAACACTAATTTTTAATCTATAAATTTTCCCTTATTCCATACACCAATCTTTAATCTATAAAGTTTACCTTTCTTCCAATTCTAATCTTTAATCTATATATTTTACCTTTTTACAACAATAGTCATTACCATCATGTGTAGTATTATTTGTCTGTGTGTGAGTGTGTGTTATTTAGATTTTAAACATAGCTTTTAAAAAAAATTTCAGTCATCTCTGCAGTGTGACAGTTTATCGTGATGTCTAGCACTGGGGCATCATGCCACAGACATGTGGCATGATGTTCCACCCAGTCACATTATCCTGACACCAGGAAAACCATTCCTAACACTAACCTCTTAATGCTGAGTGCCAAACAAGGCAGCTGTTAGTACCATTTTTTAAAGTCTTTGGTATGGCTCGGCCAGGGTTCGAACCTGTGACCTCCCACATCTGAGGCAGATGTTCTAACCACTAGACCACTGGAGCGGTTTTATTTGTAAAGTCTGTGTAAGCATGTGGGTGTCTGTGTGTGTCTGTTCATATGTGTGTATGTGAGTAAGAACAAAATGTTACTTCACCTGTAGCCTGAATTCATACTTACCTTCTTTATAGAATTCCTCATCAAATCTCCATAACTGGTTCCACTTTGATCAGAAAATGTAATGCTAGTCCATGATAACAGGTATACAACAGAGGATCATTCTGATATTGTACTAACAAGCATACAACAGAGGACCATTCTGATATTGTACTAACAAGCATACAACAGAGGACCATTCTGACGTTTTAAATTAATTCCTTAGATATATGGCACAAAGATCAGATATTTTATTACCTTCATGATTAAAGAGCAGCTTCACATAAGAGCAATTTGTGGACCAATTAAGGACACCAGACCTACTTGCCCTGATGGGTTCCACCTGTACTCAGCCATCTATTAGCTACAAGGAATTAATATACCATTATGTGTTCCAAGAAACACATTTTCAATGCACATAAATTCTGATTTTATTTCCAAGCCCCATTTTCACTAACTCTAATAACAGTCCACACATTGATCAGCTGATTATCTACTAGTTCTTTTGGAGTTGGTCAAGCAGAAGCAGTGCTTTTAAAACCTTTGTAAAAATTATTTTGTTTTCTGATTGGTTTAACTGTTTCCAAGACAAGCTATTTAATGCTGAGGTTATACTTCCTGATGTGTAGTCATAACTGGATGTTAAGAAAACTAACTGGTTGCTTGATTTTTTTCAAGTTCATCATACTTGGGGGGGGGTCCCAAACTGTCCACAGTGAGGTATATACTAAATTAGGTCTATGTAATCTATGAAAAGTAATTTTTTCAAATTTTGTTGAGATAAGAATAGATGAAAATCATGTCTTAATATGACCATAATTTGCATATTTCGAGTTTCTGAAGGTTCCATTTAAAAATGAAAATAATTTTTTATGCCTAAACATTTTCATTGAAATTTCTACCAAGGATCAGAATGTACTTGGAATGTAGAGAATGTACATGGAATTCAGCATTATGAGGTCAGTGCTAGGACTGTTTAGCCTTGTGTCAGGAAATTGTGACTGATTGGTTGTCTGTGGCATGATACCTCAGTGCTAGACATCACTATAAACTGCCACAATGCAGATATTATAGAGATATCACTGAGAACTTGTTACAGCTATTTTAAAATCCAAATCACACACACACACACACACACACACACACACACACACACACACACACACACACTCACACACACACACACACATTTGAAAATTGCTACACAATATCACAATACATTTGGGTGTTAGAAATGTATATCACATTTTTATATCAACTACAAAACTGACTTCATTAAGGTCAAGAAACACCACTAATACAAAGAAATCATAATTGAAACTGATAAATAACAGTTCTTTCTTACTCCAAAACATCTGTCTTATAGTATAGATTTATAAAAGTAACTGTTAAAACAATTGCACATAGAAACAGGAATTTTCATGATCAGATTTTCTATATTCACAAAAAGCTGCAAGTTGCAATAGCACCTTAAACTGATTGATGCTGTACTGGACCAAAAGCATTTCATGAAAACCAAGATAAGACTTCTACTTCCTTTTCACTGTTTAGTATTTAATTCATTTCTAATATTTTTCAGATATAAAATTTTCAAATTACTGATCAAGTGGACACAGTAGATGTCAGCTTGGCACCATTTATATTAGGTCTCTGAAGGTGGCCCCAAATGGCCGAGTGGTCTAAAGCTGGCTGTCCGTTACCAATCACAGCCATCTCACCTCTGTCTAAGATTTAGCGAATGTGGATATGTGAGAAAGTTTGCCAGTAGCTTCTAGTTCGTCAGTCAGTGGTTCTTTCCATGGATTTCCTGGTTTCTTCTTCCACCAAAAATTCTGGCCGCCATGTATAGCCTATCATATGCTGAAAAATGGCATTAAGCCCCAGAACAAAAGCAACAAGGTCTCTGAAAACATCATTAGAAATGTTTTAGTGAAAACCCCATGTCATAATGGCCATCCATTCAAAGGGAGTAGTAACAAGATTTTTAAGACTGTTGCCATGGCAATTTTATTGGATGTACAACCAAAACCATTGTCATTTAGGACCAACTATGTATCATAAAAATAATATTGGTAAAATCCTCAAACTACAGGAGTAGTTAAAACAAGATTTTAAGATGGTGGTCATATTTTGGACCAACTAGACATCATCTGAAGTCTTTTGGTGAAACCCATTGTCGATATAACTATCCAACCTAGCAATGAATGGTCTTTCAGTAAAAGCTCCATGATTATAAATTCATGAGAGGCAGCAATAACAAGACTTTAAATATGGCTGACAATTGGTGGCCATGCTGGATATCAGAGCAGGATTATTTTCATTTGGGAGCAACTGTAAATCATAAGAAGTCTTCAGTGAAACCTCCATCTTGATATATGATCCATTCAGAAGTAGAATAAGAAAATTTGTAAGATGGTCACTGTGGCAGTCATATTGGATATCCCAGCAGCACCATTTTCATTTAGGACCCCAACTAAATCATGCGATGAATGTGTGTAAAGTTTCATGGCAATTCTCCAAGTAGTTTTGGAGTAGAAGTGCGGACAAACCAGTGCTAATGGATAGTAAGAAGGCAGATGATGGACAAAAGACCATTTCATAAGTTCTTCTGGTTTGTGACTAGTTGAACTAAAATAATTAAATTGAAGCCATGAAATTTAATTTTTCACTAACACCAGAAACTTTTATGCACAGTACCATAAATAACATGAAATAGCTGCTTTTCTAACTCAATATTCTCAACCTGTTTTTTTTTTTTTTGTTTTATTTTTTCCTGTATGGATTCTCATCTGAATCAGAGAAGAAATTTATCAACCAGATTAAAAATATAAGTGGATTTGTCATTTTAACAAAAAATTGACATGTGAGTGAAATGAAGTACCATATATCATCACTAACAAGTCCAGCTACAAATTGCACAGACCCACATCTGCTTACCCATAATGCAACAGCAGATCAGGGTCTGTGGTGTTTCCATTCAGGCAGGACTTGTGAACATATAAGTTAGTAACTTCAATGAATTGAAAGAAGGGCATCATAAGTTTTTGTAGCCTCAAATGAAAGTAGGTATACCTTACTTCTACTGAGAGGAACTAGCAAATAAATAAATTTGGTTGTGGTGAATGGTTGATGATGGGCCATTACTAATTATTGGAAGGGAGACATGTAGGATGTATTACATAATGGTGTCCTATTATATTATTCACCAGATTAATATTACATTTTTGTCCTGTACCATAATGCTTTAATAGTGTGTACCACATTGCTTTAATGATGTGTATTACAATGCTTTAATTGTGTGTACCACAATGCTTTAATTGTGTGTGCCACAATGCTTTTATGGTGTGTACCACAATCCTTTAATGGTGTGTACCACAATGCTTTAATGGCATGTACCACAATCCTTTAATGGTGTGTACCACAATGCTTTAATTGTGTGTACCACAATGCTTCAATAGTGTATGCCACAATGCTTAATGGTGTGTACCACAATGCTATAATGGTATGTACCACAATCCTTCAATGGTGTGTACCACAATGCTTTAAAGTTGTATACCACAATTCTTTAATGGTATGTACCACTTTGCTTTAATTGTGTATCACAATGCCTTAATGGTGTATTTATTATCGTAACTAGGATCCTAACTAAGGCGATCCATAAAGATCCAAATGATTAAGTCATCATTATGATGACTGTAATGGTGCAAAATTTTGTACAATAAATACTGTAGTGTAAATTATTTCATAGTGCATTTTGTCAAGGTCAACATGACACTTAACCATTACCACTTAACCATTACGTTTGATGTATGGGTCCCACTCACCATAAATTGTTGACTGTGAATCTGCTCTGTTTGGGACATGAATTTTAATTAGGTCTTGCTCAATTTAGGTCAGAGTCAAATAATAGTGCAATGTTAACACAAGATCAATAGCGGTAAATGACAAAGAATTGAGACAAACCAGGGAAAATTTTAGGAAGCCTTTGACCATTTGAAACAATTATATTTTCTAGAGCAGTTGTTAATAACGGCAGTTAAGGAAGTCATCCTGATTGGCTAAGCTAAATGACCAGATGTGTATTAACAGATTTAATTCAGGCTTTTAAAAAATTCACCTGGTGAAATTAATCAATCTAAGTTTAAGAGGTGGGCCAGAAATTAGCTCTTGGAAATATAAGATTTCTCATTAAATTATCTAAAGACACATCATGGAAAGTGAAGGACATGAAAGAAGAGATATCTGACTTCTTAGAGAGGTGCAGGTCTCAATAAATTCTATTGCTTTCTTGATCCAGGCAATAACATCATCTTTTATCATCTCCTGGATTCTGATAAAAAAACCATAAAGTAAGCTCACAAAATGGGTATGATTTACATCCTACTTGTACATCACAGTTATTCAGTCCCAACAGCACAGAACACAAGAACTGATAGAAAAATCATTCCTACAAATCTTTGCATAAATATACCTTATAGAAAAGTAATTACAGGTAATCCGTAACAATTTCTTCTCAAATTAAGTTCTAAAATTACTGTCACACAGTTCATTTTCAAGTCCAACATCATTAATACTGAAACTGAATGCTTTTAAATCTATGAAACAATCACATCTGGAAATAAAAAGTTGTAATTTGAGGGTTAAAATGTTGACATTTATGGTGTAACATTCCTTTCATCTTGCTTCAAATTATAGTGAAAATTTGTAGCTGGGTCAAAACGTTTTACAGCGTTTTCTTTTTTTTTTTTCACAACCCTAAGGGAAGACAATCTGGTAATAAATATCATTACTTTAGGAAACACTGTGACATGAAAACAGAAAATAATTGTTCATAACTGAAATATTAATTAATTATTTAATTAATTATCTCACAAAAACTTCATTAATTTCTATGTACATGTACTTCAAA